TTTAGATCTTTGCTTGAGACCCGGGGCCGGCTATCCCGGGACAAGGCAAGACAAGGCCTTTTATTAAATTTGGAGAGGCTCGGCAGCGAGTCAACAAAAGTTACATTGGCAATTTATGCCGAAGAAATGCTACAAGGATTAGAGTGGCTCGGCCTTATAGGTCCGGAACCATTTAAATTTAGACTAGGACCAAAAAGAATTAAAGTAGGTATTCTGTGGAGGTTGGATAGGCATAGAGCCAGTACCCCTAACAAGAACCATTATCGAATTCGAATAGTTTGCAAGTCGGAAATGTCATTGTCAAATGTGTACTGATTTTTAGTTCTCGTTACGTACTTTGTGTCGCTGCTGTTCAAATTTCCATACAAAATTTGACATTGACATTTCGGTTTGCAAACTATTCGAATTCGATAATGGTTCATGCTAGGGGTACTGTTGAAAAGAGTATCCGAGTCATGGACTCCATGGCAACGGTGAAAAACATTAAGATATCAGGAAAATAAATAAACAAAATTATACCTAAAAATAAATAAAAACGGAGTAAAACAAGAAAAAGGAAAATAGCGATTTATGTTATAAATAAATATAAGAATATAGAGAAATGCCGGTAGGTAAAAGTCGAGCACTCTGGAATAGCGATTTAGTAGTTGGAATTCTTATACGTATTTACAAAATGATGAATAGTGCGTGATATATGAAATTGTGCGTTTCCAGGAATGATAATAAAAGGTATGTTTAATAATGGTAGTATGCTGAAATTGATGACTCTATAGATGAAATAACTGTAAAATGGAATCTATGATTACCAAAAGGCAGGATTGTCCCTGAGGTACGTTATAATACGGTTACTCAATATACAATTTTGAAAGTAAGTTCTGATGTCTCCCTTAGGCTGCAGATAGACGACGCGAAAAAATTCTTGCGGCCGCCACGCGGCGACCGCGCTGTGGCCGCGTAATAACTGTTCAGTCATAGTAGATTTATGTTTTATTAACTAGGACTTAACGTTGAATTTCTTTGTGAGTAACTAACTGCGCGGCGTCCGCTCCTCGATCACACGGCGGCCGCGCGGCCGCCTCGCTCGAATCACTCGAATGTTTTAACATCCAATGTTTTGTGTGATGTGAATCAAATGATGTATCAAATGTTTTAACATCCATTCGGAAATAATCTGCGATTTGCTTTTTAAATTCTCGCAGTTGGTTGTATAGCATATGAAATTCACCAAACTGTTCTCGCTGTGCTACAATAGGATGAAACCAAAATCTTCTACATTTATTTTTTTCTTCTTTTTTGCTTTGTCGATACAAGTAATATGCAATCATAATTTTCTTCTTCTTAGTCAAATAGCCCAAAAAAAATTAAGAAAGACCAAGTTCAACTGCAAATGAATCGAGTTAACAGTTGCGGGGCCACCACGCGGTGACCGCGGGGCCGCCATGCCGTCGCCGTACTGCCACCGCGCGGCCGCCACGCTATGACATTCTGTGTCATATAAACGCGCCCTTATGGCAGCCGTTGTATTTTTCAAAATCAAAACACTGCAGAGACATATTATTTTATTTGTTTATTTATTTTTATATATTGATTTAAAATGTAGAGTGCCGTCATGGTTTCGTACAATTTTTACTACACATAAAAAGTGACGTCACGAGCTCTCACTCCCAAACTTTGACGCGCTTTGTCTTTGTGATTTTGTTTGACAAATTGACAAAAGAAAAAATAAGTGTCCGTATTTTTTTTTATAATCTAACTGGCGGACTAAAAAGGATTTCGTTTACTTGAAACCGTCATCATCACTATTAACAAAGCGATAAGCGCGTTCAATCGGGGGACGCACAAGAGAGGATGGAGATTGTGAATCATAGGGGAGGAGACAGTAATGGTGAGAAAGAAGGTAGTGTAGATAGATAACCCTTCATCATCAGCCTATTAATGTACCCACTGCTGGGGCACAGGCCTTCCCTATGGGTGGAATAGGGAGATTGGGCCATGACCTACCACGCGGGTCCAGTGCGGATTGGTAAGTGCTAACGACCACAGATGCAGCCGGGACCAACGGCTTAACGAGCCTTCCGAGACACGGAGGAGCTAGAGATAATAAAATTTTGGTCACCCATCCAATGACCGACCACTGCGAAAGTTGCTTAACCTCAACGATCTCAGCCGAACGCGCTAACCACTTGCGCCATCGAGCTCCTCCGATAAACATATTCCTTAATATTTTTGAAAAACTCCACGCCATGGGGTAGACGATAAATGTTAAAAAATAAAAACCCCACTTTACATGTACTAGGGTTAGTTACCCTAAAGGACAATGTTAAAATTGGCCTAAGAACCAACACCAATTTGGCATTTATGATAATTCTTAGTATATTTTTTGCGATAATTATCAGTATTTAGATTGTGACGGACACTTCCAGTTAAGTAAGCTAAATTAAAAAGTTAATAAATAATCTGAGACAATAAATACCATTTTATGTGTATAATCTATGACAGCGCTGCAAACAAAACACGGGAAGAAAGATTCCCAATGCCGGCACTTCATTTGGCTGTTCGTATTTGCTATTTAAAAACATGACACCAGTCTGTCCTTTTCATTCCTTATTAAGCATGACAAGGACGAACTGTTGTCAAGTGAAGGGCCGACATAAACTCGATACTCTGTGGTTGTGGTGCAGGCAGTTTGCATTCGTAGTAATCTGTGACATTTGTGCATTCTCGTCAAAGAGTACTTTTTATAAACGGAAAATTCTCGTTTCGGATTACCTGTTGTGTGTGTTTATTTGCGATTGTTTTTCCTTGAATGAACTATTACTATTTCGGCTATCTAATATGCCATCGATGTTCATCAAATAGCAGAAACCTTATTACCAAGTGCTAGTGAATCTGTGCCATAACATCCTGAGAGGATCATACTGCCAAATTATTCAAGAGCATCATTAAATTATTCATGATACACATTCACGCTGCATATACACACAATATCCATGTGTTAAACAAATAAATACAGTATACAATATGATAAAATTATGTGAAAAATAGTCAATAAATAATAAGAAGCAAAACTACAGTTTTTATTTTATTCATGATTCCTACCTAACCAAGTTTTTTCTAATAGTTATTCTTTAAAATCTCACCGAATAAAATGAATTAGTTGTAATGTTAATTCACTTCATACTGAGTTCATACTAAGTTCATAGGTTGACCTATGTTTCATTGATTATAAAACATAACCTCAAAAATTTTTTAGTTTTCCTAATAATTTAAGTTTTCAGAAGTGTCCGTCAATAATCTTTGTTTTCACAGTCATTTACTTGCGATTTCGAACCTAGAAAATAATATTTCATGATTGTTACTTCTTAGGCTAACTATGTATGGACGCAGAACAATGTCCTTTCTACCTATAACAATTTACAATATTTTATAAGCCTCTGAGATAATCGGTGGACAGAGGAGTTCCTTATCACTTTGTTGATTTTGAAACCTTAAAAACATATCTCTGACTGAAAATTACAGGAATTTAATAGTCTTTTAGAATAGCATACATTTCAATGTCACTATATTTCAGATGCCTTTGCAAATTATATTTTATTATAAGTCACGTATAGACTTGATCCTGCTATCGTAGAACTTAAAAAAACTTAATTTATGAAGTCTGGAGACATCTTGGAATCCCTAAATCCGTAATCTGTTCAGAAAACTCAAATAATTATGTAAAATAACAAATCTTGACACCCATTTAAAAGTTAAATGAGTTTTATTAGATTCCTTTTATTGTGATCTCAAAGCGGCCTATATAGGCACCTAATTGACTAATGATTTAAGATCGTGGAACGGTCTCAAATGGGACCACAGAGAACTACTCAGCTAAATTAAGTACATAAGGTACCTTTACACATTTTCATCTCAGACTATACAACTATTTTTTTTACAACACACACCAATTAGCCTAGTACCAAAGTAAGCACAGTAAGGCTTGTGTTATGGGATGCTAGGGTAACGGATAGAATACATACAGTACATATATAGGTAAGTATATTTATATAGAAATACATATTAAACATCCATGACAGAAGTACAAATGCTCGTGTTCATCACACAAACATCTGCCCCCACCGGGATTCGAACCCGGGATCTCTCGATTCGGCGACACCATGTAACCCGGCGTACAAACCACTCGGCCACGGAGGTCGTCAAAATATTAGTTAATATTTTTATTTTTATTTATTTTTTATTTTTCCAACACACCAATTAGCCTAGCCCCAAAGTAGGTAAGCACTGTAGGCTTGTGTTATGGGTTACTAGGGTAACGGATAGAATATATATACTGATACATATATATAAGAATATTTATATAGAAATACATATTGAACATCCATGACTGGAGTGCAAATGCTCGATGTATTCATCATACAAACATCTGCCCCCACCGGGATTCGAACCCGTGATCGAATAGGGGACAGCTTGAAATCCGACGAACAAACCACTCGATTACGGAAGTCATCGTTAAAATCCCTACAATTGAAATGAATAATTATGAAAATAGCTTTTTTGTGTTTTTTAAATTATGTCCCTACCCTAGGAATAGACTATGAACTTTTAAATTCAAATTACACAGTACCTACCCACCAGACCTAGCTGACTTAGCTCAGAATGGAAATAAATGACTGGTGCTAATGAAAAAGCAGTTTGCCTCGGCCAGATACGCGAACATCGCTTTTGACAATTTAATTTTCCCCCGCGTATTTACAGGACAACTAGAATAGTATACACTTTCCGCGCATTTTCTCGTTTACGCCAAAGAAAAATCTGCGTGACGCGTATACGAAATTTCTCACGCACCATGCGTGACAGGACTTTCCCTACGACCGTCGGCGTACGTGGCCAAGAATGTGAGCTTTTAAACCCCAAGGACCGCTCCCGAAATCGTGACATCGATTAGAATCGAACGGCGCACGGTAATCGAGTAACACGCTTACGAAACTATAAAATATTATGGAGTTAAGTTACGTTACGTAGGTATTCGAATTGCGAATTGTCCGTTCGCCGAGTTCTCGCCCGCCGTCACCAAGTAAGCGAACAGTCAGTGCCGCGTCGACCGCCGCGCGATACGCACATACGTGACAGCGACGAGTCGCGCCACCCTGTGTGCCTGTGCCCTGTGTTGTAGCTCAAAAGTACGTAAACAAATCACATTAACTCAGTGTTGAGCCAAGTGAGTTGAGCAGTGCGGTGCAGCGCAACGCGAGCGTGCCCCGGACTGGTCCGCCGTGTGACAGTTTGGAATCTGTTGCATTTTGCAGGTGTTTGCTCGTTCTTTATTAATTGAAAAGTGATTGTAAGGCGGTCACGGCCGCGGCACACATGTCCGGCCCAGTTTTCACGATCGTTGCCTCCGTCTCTTGAGAGAATTCCACTAGATTTGTGGTTTCTTTGTTTACGGCGGCGCGATAGGGGCTCACTCAATGCGGCGCCCGTGCACTTGTTGATTCCACCCCAATCGTGACCGAACTTAGCAGAAGATACACAATTTCTTTTCCATTTATTTACAATTAAGAGAAAACGAAAAAAAAACCTTAAAATATATCCAACGATCTAGCTTACTTATGATTCTTATACGACACAATGTGTTTCAGTATCAGTAGATACCAAGTTGAGAAAAATATTTCTTCTCAAACACAAATTTCCTGATAAAACTATTAAAGTAACAGTATCCTACTTCAAAGGAAATGAAGAGTAGACTCATAAATAAATTGCAAAAGATGCATTTAGAATTATTTATCGACCAAAATTAGAACGGAATGTAATTTTGCATATTTTTGCAGTCATGGCGCAAGATTATAGACATATCGGATTACTAAATAGTAACAATAATCGCATATCCTATTGGGTTTGATGAGGTTTCGAGTGGCCGTAATCTGTTATTGGAATGTCTATTGCTCGTAAAATTTCTTACTCCTAATAGGTACCTACTTCATCCATTGCGTTTGCTATTGCCAAGTTTTAAAGTACAACATGATGGAAATGATGTAATTCAGCCTTAATATACTGTGCAGTTATTAATTTGATTCAACCATTCTAATACGCAGTTAGGTTTTTCATCAATAATACAGTCACGTATATGTCTTTAAATTAAAATGGTAATGCGTTGAAACGTTATACTTACAGTGCGATGAAGATCTTGTGGCACTTGGCCGAAATCGTAACTAATTTAAGAAAAGTATAAATAAGCCTTTCTAATTTTATACAGTTAGGTGTAAATAAGCCTTTTATATTCCCTATTACTCTTTCTTTCCCAGTTATTGCAAATTATAACGTTCCATAAGAATGAGGAAATTTTACGTACTAAGTAATCCTCATTTCACTAGAAGCGCTCTTCTGTCAATGTCATCTAAGCCACAAGATATTTATTGGTCGCACTGTAGATATCTTTTGTCCTTTCCGTTCGTTCCCTACGGAAAATGTACTACGCTCTCGGCGCCGGTATTGTATAAATTTGCTACAATATGGCGATGTTATTCTTTTCTCTCGTCCCTGTTTTCAATATACATCACAGAATCATTGTAATCTAATTAACGTACTAGAGCCACTTCATTGGCTTTGTAACGAGTAATTAGTTCAACAGCATCAAGTCCTGCGTCATCGTAAATTTCAGCGTCTGCTAGACACTCGTTAACATTAACCAAATTAATTTCGTAACGGAGTTCCACCATAGTTTTATGCGAGACGTTACGAATTTAGTGAACTTTGCTTTCTCTCGTCCTAAACTAATTTGGTTACAAGTAACACGAATAATTAAGGAGTAATTGTCTTTGGGGGCCTGGAAATGCGCATCCTTCACACCCGTGATATTGTTGTCCTTTGAAATGAATCTTTTGTCACGCGGACTATTCAGTAATTAAATCTTAGGTTATGAATGCCCTGCCAACCCTACTCTATGACGTATTGCAGATAGATATATAGACACAGTGAAAACGTTAAATCGCTTAAACGCCACTTTTGTAACTACAGAAACGTGGATTAGTTTTCGTTTCACAAAAAAATATCATCAACACATTTTAAATGAAAAGTAGGGCCAGAAAATAAAAATATATTTATATTATAATTATTTAAATATATCCTACTATTAAAAAGTTCCATATTATATTGCCTTTACGAATTCGATGACGCTTAAGCGAAAATCATTCGGGCTCTCATACATTTTTCGTCAAACAAACATCAAATCATACGCCAAATAGTAGGATGTAAGCGCCATTGGTTCAAAAAACACCAATATTTATGTCGCTATAGCCTTGTGAACAATAAAAATCTTCAGAAAATTTTGTTGTTTAAGCGCTAACAAAGTACTCAAATTTTCACGAAACATAAACAGATCGACGCAGAAAAAAATCTGATTAAAATGATATATACACTATATAACACATTTACGGCCAAAGTGGCGTATAAGCGATTTTACCTTTCCACTGATGATATTTTCTTTAAATGTTATTCGATAAATATCATTACAATATTAAAATTAACCAGAAGTATGCCAAATTGAATATAATAAAAAGTAATTTTATTTAATTCATTTGTACAAATGTGAGCATTAATATTGTGAATTAAAAATAAATTTACACGTTTACTATCGACTATAATACCTACCGAGTTACGTAAGTTAATATGCATTTTATAGTATTAGATTCGCTTTTCATTTTCAAATTCCTCATAAACATCGATAGATTTCAAACAAGTCAAATACTTTACGCGGATTTTAGAATCCGCGTAAAAGTAAGTAAGTTACTAATAACTTTATAAACTTTTGCTAGATTCTCCAAATTCTTTTCTTTCATCTATCCCTACTTATTTGATTGTGAATTTCAATATAAACGTATTTCTAATAATGAAGATTTTATTCGTGCATTCATCTTTTAATCCGATACTTAGTAATCATTTTCAGTATTCTATTGATCGTTAATAGAATCAAGAGGCTCTTTCGTACAAAACTATTCTTCATCAGGAGTTCCCTTGATTGGTACGAATACATTGTTGTTTTGTAATCAACTGATTCTCATATCATTCCAAGATTAACTGACAACAATGCTTCTCATTTTAGAAGAGATTCTACGATGTACAAATACATTGAGTTTTCAACAAATTAATACGAAAAAGAGCTTTATCCAATAATATAACTTGGAGAGATATGTTATGCCCAATAACCAATGAGCATTCGTGGATAAGACTTTAATAACTTAATGAATTGAATAGAATCTCTTTTTTAGTTGCATCTACCATGCATTGTAGATGCATAAGAAGCATTGATTATTCTATGCAACGATTGCTGGCTAGGAGTTATTTAGAAGAATGGTCATGCGTAATAGCAGTTCCTTCACGTCATTGTCATTCAACGAGCTGAATTTGACGGCGGCAGGTAACGTAATGTAAATTAACAACGATACAAAGTGAAAGGTCGAAGATGAAATAGTGGCTTGTTATAGAAAACTTACGAAACACTGACCTCAGCTTTGAAACATTACAAAGATCAAGCACCCGCTAAGCTTATCTCATCTGTAATAATGTGAAGATTGCTTTATGCGATGCTTATTTGATCATAAGTTTTTTTAGCATCGTTGACATTTATAAAGTTCTCAACAAGTATTCCAAATTTTTAAATAATGAGTTTGGTATTTGAAATGAAAACTATACCCCTAGCACGAACCAATATCGAATTCGTATCGTTTGCGCGTACGAAATGTCGATGTCAAATTTTGTATGGAAACTTGAACAGTAGCGCCACGAAGTACGTAACGAGAACTAAAAATCAGTACAAATTTGATAATGACATTCCGGACTCTCAAACGTTACGAATTCGATGTAGGTTCGTGATAAGGTACAGTACGTACCCTAGGGTAATACCCCTAGCACGTACCAAGTTCTTAAGTGACAGAGAAACTCAAGTGCTGTTCAAGTTTTCATACAAATTTGATATTGACATTTCGGTTTGCAAACTATTCGAATTCGATAATGATTCGTGCTAGAGGTACTGAATTCTCAGTACTATTGTTCTTTTTCCTAATATTTTTAATAATTATTACTTATTTATTCTTGATGAACTGTAGTATGCCATGCCTAAGCTAACTGAAGTAATTACTTTAAACATTGTAAGCAACTACTGCCGGTTACTCTTACTTACTAATACTCGGTTAACTAGGCGGCACATTCGGTTAGAGCTGCAATTACCTATGGGTACACTCGACAATATCGACATCCTTGCGATAGGAATTTACGATAACGTAATAAGTATTTCTAAGAATTCAAAATTAATAGGACAATGTTACATACATCTTTATCTTTATATATATAATTCTTCTGTGAGTGTGTATGTCACTGAACTTCTCTTAAACGACTGGACCGATTTTGATGAAATTTTTTGTGTGTGTTCAAGGGGATCTGAGAATGGTTTAGATTCACAATTTTGTCCGCTGGACAACCCCTATTTTTTTAGGGCGGTACGAAGTTCGCTGGGTCAGCTAGTAGAAATATAAATGGAAAAAATAATTTGATTAAAGAGATATTTTTATTATAAAGACTTGATTGATAGTTAAAATTGTTTACTAAAACTGATGCGAAATCCAGCAGTTGGAGAGAATGAACACATAGCACATTTTCCTCAAATTAACGCGGGTTTAACAGCAAAGGACCTCAAGCTAATCATAAGGGCAAAATATTATTATGACTTAAGAGCCCTTTCACATTTTTTGCGAACAATCGTAATTTTTGAGCGCCTTATTTACCCCCTTTGAAAAGATTTTGACTGTTTCCAATACAAGTTAACAGTAGAATTATTCTTCCTATTAAAAGTTAATGTAGAATATTTGCAAATACTATTTTCCTCTTTATGTACTGATCGTTCTATTGCAGCTACTTTACAGAAAAAACGATAATATGCACAATTTCAAACGCCTGAATCTCTCAATAATGTTCAAAAAATTGTGTGTGTCAGCTCCGACGTACGACTGGTGTTTACTCCTTAAGTTCGATAGTCTAACCAGACGCAAAAAGAGTTTATTTAACTTAAAAAAGATTGATACTGTATGAAAAGGTAAATTAACAAATTAATGAAAATAATATACATACAAAAATATATATTTATTCATTTCATAAACATTTATTATAACTAATCGACGAAATATTTTACATTAAACTTTTTACAATAGTCAATTTCAGATGTGCATAAATATATCATTAGGAATGTTGATAAATTATGTAATTATTATTATCAGACTATTATCATTTTTTTAAATATTAATTAAATCAACATTGT